GATCTACTTCTTCGAAAGCTACATTGACAAGGGAAAAGAAGAATATTATTTTCCAGATGCCATACTAGACGAAGGTTTAAAATGTTTTCCAAGATTTTACACATACTACAGGTAAGCGAGATGGGGCGGTAAGAAGTGGGCGTATCTTTAGGGTTATTTGGCTTGATGATGGGAATTATTACTGCATGGTTTAGAAAACAAATATTAAATAAATCTAGTAAAACTAGTTGATGTGTAAATGGCAAGTTTTTTACAAATATTGGTGGTATGTTACATAGTCCAGCCGAGGCGTTTCTTAAATCAGAAATAGCAAATTCTAATTCTTGAAGAGTTATAGCGAGTATAGGATCATTGGTATCGTGTATGGGAATAATAGAGGATTCTGTAGTTTCTTTGTGCGTTAACATTTCCTGAGATATATTATTATTACTAGAATTTTGTTGATAAATATCAGCAAATGTTTCTGCAATAGCTTTGTTACAAGTAATTAGTGTTTGACCATAAGTTAAGAGGTTTGTTTGTCTAAAAGAGTTAAAACCTTTAAGTTCACGAATTTTGACCAAATGACAACTGAAGAGGTCGAAAAATTTATAGGAGGTACATAATTTCCCCATTTATTTCTTTAACTTTTTTATGAGATTCCTCGATATTGCTCTGAGTTTTTTAAAAGTAAGTAAATTTTCTTCCGTATAATGTTTTTTAAGCTTATTAAACGCACATTTTATTATAGATAGAGCTAGTGCAATTTCGTTGGTCCACCAAGGCACTGGTTGTCTATTAAAGAGTTTAGTTTTACAGATATTAATTAAGGCAGCTTCTGTTATGATATTATCTAAGGGCCTATTTTAGTGTCAGAGTTTATGTCACTGCTTAATAGGAAATTTTCAATTTTCTTTTGGATGTCGATCTGATAGGAAACCCAGTTTGCATTCTTTAATTTTCAAAATTGATATATTGGGAATTTAGGAGATTGAGATTTATTAACTGTTACATGAACGGGGAAATGATCACTGTCGTGTAGTAATTCTAAAGTATTCCGTAAGAGTTAAGTTGATAATGATTGGCTACATAATGACAAATTTATGGCGGAAAATGAGCCGTCGTAAGAGTTAAATCGGATCAATTTTCCATTATTAAGTAGTATTAAGTCTGAGGAATCAATAAAGTGATTCATTTAATTACCGAATTTGTGAGGTTTATGACTTTCCCATGCCGGATGATGGCAATTCATATCACCAAAAATTATTTTTGGGTTTGTAATTTGATCTAAAGATTTCTAAATTCTTGTAAATCGAGATCGCTGGAAGATCGCGAGATTCTGCTTCTATAATGTTGTTAGGAATTGTAGGGCATGCATTAGATACTATGAGTCTTTCGGCTGTAGTGATCAAGCTTCTTATTTCTATTTGTGAATATTTTATGTTTACAAACTTGTAGGAGTGGAGAAGAGAATCGACCGTGCATTTTGAGGAAAGATAAATGCAAATTCGGTTTTTAGAAATTCTTGATGCGAAGATGACATTACGTGGTCCTACTAGTGATTCTACTGCTACAATGTAGTCGTAAATTTTAGTATCGTCCATACTAGATAGAACAATAGCCTGTTCTTTTGTTGGGTATTTACAAGGATTTACTACACTGGAATATGAGTCTAAAGATGAGATTTGTGTTTGATTCATGTTGATTGAGGTAGTGTTATTTAAAGTAATATCATTTGAAGTAATGATATTTTAAGGTACCGCAAGTCTGGCACTGTCGCCAGTTCGAAAACTGGTTGTCGTTCTGGATGCAGACCCATACTTGTTTTATCTTTCTGTATTTTGCAGGTTATATTTCTGATAATGCTGTTTCTAATAATGTAATTTCAAAAGATCACGTCAGTATATATTGGTGAGCACTATAGTATACTTGAAATATAAGCTGGAGTAAATTCTCAGAATACTACTCTTAGAACCTTAAAATACATAGGCGTGCAAATCTTCTAACTCAAACGCAATCTTAACAGAAAAGTTTGCATTAAATTTATTTGGATATTTAGAACAACGAAATAAATCCAATTCAATACTGGTTTAAAATAAAAAGATACATATATAAAGAATAAAAATTCTATTAATTGTGAAACATACAGTTAATATAAAATAATAAAATACAATAAATTATACTGAAACGTAAAATACATGCACAAAAACTGTTTTTACATACGCAAAAAAATATATTAATATAATAATAATCAATAATATTCTTAATACATTATTAGTATATTTATCTTATTGGAAATAAGAATAAAAATTGTATTAGCAATAAAAAAATAAATAAATAAATAATAAACAATGTCCCACATATTTTTCTCAATATCCATAACGTGATTAATACATTTTTGCCAATGTTCAGTCGTTACTTCGGATATTCGTTAATGAAAAAGATTAGTAACATCTGACAATTTAAAAGTTGCTCGCAATGATACGGTGGTAGGCGAAGTATTTCAATTTCTCGTTTTTTTGGCTATCTCCTCAATAACATATTTTTTATAATTTTGTTTAATAATTTTGGCAAGCCCTAATAATTCTGCTTTTGTCATTGTATCGTCAAAGATTAATTTCTTAGAAATTAACCATATTGCAATTTCATATTTTCCCCATTGAGTAGTTGGTAAACGTTCAACTAATCTAAAGTGGTAACTTACATTGTTCATCACAATAACTGAATTTTTAGGTATAAATTCAATCATCTGTTCGACATATTCTTCAACCACGTCTCCGTTGATCTCTTCGTGATAATCACAGGTCTTTTTTGATTCAAACAAAAGTAAACCCTCCTTAAGAAATCCATTCATACTACCTATATGGATAACACTTAATCGTCGACCTTTACCTGTTGGTTCCTTAAAAACAGGTGAATATCCTTCTAGAAATTCTCGTCGACATGTTTTTATAGTTTTGTCTTTCCAAACTCTCCCTACAGTAAGCCCTACATTAAACCACATTTTGTCTAAATAATAAATGTTCTTATTTTCTATCCTCATTTTTTTTTTATTTTTCTGAGATAGTCTCGTCTCCAACACACAATTTCTTCGGAATCGATAAGCATTGACTGTCTGCCAACTTTTTCATACTTAAAGTTTAATTCATGCAAAACTTTCCAAAGTTTGTCTTTACTTATTATGGATAAATCGGGATCATCGGTAATGGCTTATAGAACTTTATCTAAAGTTGGTATTTGTTTATTAAAAAAAAATGAGTAGACTATTCTACGAATTGCATTTTTGAAAAATTCACATCTACATTCACTTTCGACAATTTTGGTCTTCCTGTTGACGGTTTGGGTGGGTTTATACCAGCAGATTTGTCCTCTTAAAATGTTATATACAGTTGATTTTGAATATCCCATTACTTTAGACGAAGTTTCAACTATACTATTGTGTATAGCCAAACAATAGTATATATTGTGTACCCAACAGTATTGGAAGGATTGTGTTGCTTAAAATAATTGTAGACATTAAGGATAACAATATTTTTGTTAAGTGATAAATGATTCAATTTTTAACTGGTGTATAGTCACACGTTAATTCCATAGTCTATAAACTCATTATTCACTCTTGCAAAAAACAACTATCTCAGATCTCTTCATTTGCTTATAATCCACTGAACAAAAATATTCTGATATTAATGAATGACTATTTAAAAACAATTAACCATTTTATTAATCATTGGTTTTCCAAAGAAAATCGCAATTTATACTATTTAAAATAGCGTTCACATTTATCGGAAACCATCTTTCGCTAATCGACTTTTTCTATCTAAACTATCAAAAGACCATTAACTAAATACCTATTTATTTTAAGAGTTTCTTTATTTCTTGTTATTTAATAGGTCATTATCGCAACTACAAAAATAACCATAAATAAGGTTACTAAAATAAAAAGATTTATACAAATATAATATGATTTGAAAGTGGTTTAAATATCTAAAAAACCGAAACAAATAATGTAATTCCCTTAAAGTACGTCTATGACCAGCTGAATAATCCCTAGCCTACTGTTCTACCAATAGCAGGTAACTAAATTTTACGATAGTCCATGTGAAGTGGAAAAATTTCTATCTAAATAGTCTAAAATATTGACGTTGTACAAAAAGCAGACTTACTACAAATGTTTAACAATTTAGTTTTTTTTTCTGAGAATTTACACCAGCTTATTTTTTCAAATATACTATAGTGTAGCACTATAACTGTATGCACAGATGAAATAACAATTTTTGAAAGGTAATTTACCATTCAAAATAATTTTATTTTTGGAGGGCTTTAAACCTGGTACATTGTATCTTAGTCAGAACCGTACTGGAACGAGTTTTTTGTTTTGGCAGTTCCGTGGCTTGGTCGTTGAAGAAGCTGTCAGAAACAATTGATTAGAAATCGATGACGTACATACACTCACATATTATAAGTCAACGGGTAACATACCATTTCCAGAAACTCCAAGATATTTGCCCTTTGTCTAAGCAAGTACTTATGAATATGCTACAAATCCAAGTTCAAATTTTTTATACTCTCAGAATTTTCCTTGTGAATTTCAATTTACATTCATATCATCAGCGGGAAAAGCGAATGTGGCTTCATACAAACCAAGAGAGTATCAAAATTTGAACAATATTGTGTTTTATTTCTGTTTTTGTACATGGCACGACCACTGGCGCCACTAAAATCATGCACGTGTAAACTCACCTTTATGTAAATTATGAAAACGACAAAACGTGTAAGTCTATTTAATAAACTAATTTATGTAGATATATTGCCTAAACAATCTGTTACAAAAAATTTGTAATATTAATTGAAATACCAATGTAGTGTGTAAATTGCTTTAAATAGATTTACTAAAATTAGTAAACCAGAAAACATTATTTTCATAAGTGGATCAATGGCTATTATTATCAAGAAATGTAATATGAAATACAGTCAACATCGTATCGGTCATAACCTTGTCCAAATCACGATACAATAATATCAACATTGTGAATTAATCAAAACTACGGTGACTTTAAATAAACTATTTAGTAAAAATAAAAATGAACTATTTTATTTTGGCAGTGTGTTTTTTTCGTATATGTACAATAAATGTTACATGTCAAAGGTAAGTAATTTTTAAATATTTTTTCTGTTATCATTTATCGCACCCTTAGTAAAGTATAGGCACAACTCTAAAAAGTAGAATGTTGGGAAATCGATTTTAAAGATTTGCGTGACTAGGATTTTTAAGAACATAACGTCTGTGCATTATATAATTCTGAAAATTCTTGTAATTTAGTCGTGAATCAAACGTTAATCCGAGAATTTTGTATTATTTAACAACAGGAAGAGAGACATTGTTAATGAAAATAAGTAGAGATGGAGAAGGGAGACGTCTACTAAAGTTTATAATTTTAGGTTTTACATAGGATAAAGATAACCCCATGTTACTAGTTTTTTTTTTTAAAGTGTATCAACAGCATTTTGAATAAGATTCGAGGTGGAAGAAGTGTCCATGACAGTAAATTACTAAATCATCAGCATACATGAATTGTTTAATAGGGGAAATGAGATGAGAGCATAAATCACTTATTGCTAGATTAAAAAGTGTAGGACTTAGTACCGATCCCTGAGGTACGCTATCAGTTTGAGTATGAGTAGAAGATAAAATACCGTTGACAGAGACTCTGAACGATCTATAAGATAGAAAATTTTTTTTAGTCTTTTATTAATGAGTATTACGATAGAGGTTTGCCATTGTTTGGGAAATTGGTTAGATGACCAGATTAAATTATACATCTCAAGTATTTTGAGTAGGCTACAGTTGGATAGCTTTTGATAAATACGTAAGCAATGTCGTCAGGACCAGCGGCATTGTTTTTACAAGTTTAAATAACTGATGCTAGTTCTTCAAAAAGAAAGGAAGAATTAAGATATGTGATGTCCATTATTGTTTCGGGTGAGAAACAAGGTGGGGCTTTAGGTAATGGTTTTCGTAAGGAGGTATCTATTTTACTTTTGAATTTAATGTCGAAGTGCATTGCTAGGGTTTCGCCGATTTCTTGATTGTCAGTGATTGTTGGAGATATCAGATGACACAAATATTGGAAAGTGGTTGCTGTCATATAGATCATCGGGAGTTTTTTAAAGTTAGTGAAGTATACGTTTTTGGATCGCTAAAACTAAGATCTATAGCCGAAAATGTGCCAGAGGAAAAGTTCAAATGCATATTAGAGCCTCTATTTAGTAGACAGGAGCCTGTGCGATTGATAACGTTCTCTATAGATTTACCTTTGCCATTAGTGTGTTTTGACCCCCACATAAAGTTATGAGCATTGAAGTCAGCTACTAGAATATATGGAGCGGGGAGCTGATAGATAAGATTTAGAATTTCAATTTCTTTAAGGCGGTATTTAGGAGAAATGTATACACTGCATATCCTAAGTTTATTTGGACACCAAGTAGTTACGGCGATAGCCTCGAGTTCCGTAGTGATAAGGAGATGGGATGAATATATTTCCCTGGAAATAAAAATAGATGTCCCACCACTGGCTGTGTTACAATTAGTTCTGATATAATGGTATCCTTTGAACTTTTTTAGTGTGGAAAGCTTAGATATTTTTGAGTTTGTTTCTTGTAGACATATGATATCAGGTTGTTTTTCTGTCACTAGTTATTGGATTCTTTTAATACGGGGAAATAACCCATCGCAGTTCCATTGGATTAAATTGAAGGTGAATCTTGAGTTAAAGGGGTAAGGGGCAACTGAGATGGTTGTTCCAGCTGTTGGGAGAGGGGGGTATTGCTTTTCTCATCGGTTAGGAGTTCAGATGAGACGCAGATATTATCAGAGTCATCTGGGTTTAGCTGTCTTTTATTTTCTTTTGAAGTCTCGTATGTCGATTATTAAGGGATCTTTCCTTAGTTTCTGTATAGAGAACTGTTATGTCGTGTAAGAGTCCTTCAATATTTGACGTAAAAACGAAAGCTTTATTAAGTGGACTAGGATTACCATGTGTATTTTCTAGGAAAGCGATAAACTGAGTCTCGGTCAAAGTTAGACCAGATGGATTATTTTTATAAATGGCCGCTACAGATTGTAGTGAACTAGCTGTAAGAGTATGTTCTTCTGATTTTGTAGTTTTTGTTTTTTTCTTGTGAGGTTTGCAGACAGTGTTTGTTTTTGTGGAAAACGGAGGAAGCATTTGGTTAGACGCTGGTTCGGGTGTACTTGCTGAAGATAATAGAGAAGGAATATCAGAATTGCTGTCTGTTCATATAGCTCTTTTTTGTCCTTGTGTGGGTGGAATTGATGGGTGTATAGTTTCAGTATCTATTTCAGTAGGGGTTTCTATGCAGTTTGAGATAGTTAGGTCTGATTGAACTGGAGTACTTACGTCAGAAATTATATTAGTAGTTTCAGATGTAGAGGGCTCGAGATGGGGTAGTTCAGTTTGAGAAAAAGTAGTTGGATTATTGGTACATGAGTCAGCGGTATGTCCGACCTCTTTACATAAAAAACAATGTAATTTATCCGTAGAAATAAATATTCTATAAGGTGTGCTTTCGTATGTAATAATGAAGTTTCTATCTACTGAAAAGTTCCCCTTACTGGAGATAATATACGTTACTCTTCGGAAGCTCATTATGTGCGCATAACCTTCTCCGAGTGCACCACAATTCACAAATGACACAGGAAAGACCAGCTGTAATCCAATATGTTTAAGGGCTTTCTGCTTGATAGATATTTTAATGTGTTTTTAGAAGGTTATCAACAACTGTAGGCGAGGAAAGATAAATAAAGATGCGGTTGTTTAAGATAGGTGATGCAAAGTTAATATTTTTTGGGATAACAATATCCCCTATAGCTTTAACGTAGTCAAATAAAACAGTATTTGGACTAGCGTGCATTAAAATGGCTTGCTCCTTACGTGGAAAAGTAGGAGGTGGAGGTTTAGATAAAGTAGCAGCGACATACGATTTCGTGGGGTGAACTTGTGAAGTTATGGGGTTTTGATTTAAGTTCATTTTTGTGATTTTTTCTGGATACCAAAAACACTTCACTTAATTTTTAATATTTCAACAGACGTCCTAGTCGGACACTGTGGATAAAATAATAGGAATATAACAATTACCTGTATCTGCAGTTTTCCGTCAGTTGAATATAATAATATTATAGTCCAATAATAATCGCTGTTTCCATAACACACACAGTAATTCGAAATATCACACAATTCTTACTATAAGAACTGGTTCGTAAACTGGTAGAAATCGAGAAGGTAATTAAGACTATACCGATAAGGTAAGGTAATGTTTACTCGTTGGCTACCTGAATGGGAATCAATAAAAATATTTAATAATATTATTTGTTCTCTTCTTCATGTGCCTTGTCCGTTCCGAACGTTGGCAATCAATATGGCTATTCTGACTTTGTTTACGGCAGATCTGAATAGTTCAGCAGATGACAATCCGAACCATTGCCGCAAGTTTTGGAGCCACGAGTGTCTTCTCCTCCCTGGACCCCTTCTGCTGTCTATTTTCCCTTGAACGATCAGCTGTAGTACTCTATATTTATTATGTCTCATAACGTGACCCAAGTATTCCAACTTTCTTTTCTTTATACTTATTTCTACCTCTCTCTCTCTCTTTACCTATCCGGCGTAGTACCTCTTCGTTGGTCACGTGCTCAGTCCAGGATATACGTAATATATGTCGGTAAGCTCACATTTCGAAGGACTTTACTTTTTTCATCAATGTTGCGGTCATTGTCCACGCCTTCATTCCATATAACAAAACCGGGAATACATAACATTTCAGAAGTCGAATTTTGAGAGGTAGAGTGAGGCTTTTAGAGGTGAAAATTTGCTTCATGCTAGTGAACGATGCTCTTGCCTTTTCTACTCTTATACGTATTTCCTTCGCTTGATCTCAATTTGAGTTAACTGTTGTTCCCAAGTAGATGTACGAATCCACGTGTTCAATTCTTTCATTGTCTAATATCAGTTGCTGTGGTGGTTGTTGAGTTTTGCTTTATTAGACTGTTTAAAAAGTTCCAAAAATATTACTGTAACCTTCTGTCATAGTAGTTAGCGTAATTCGGATCAATTAGCTTCTTGTTGTTTTTGGATAGATATCTCTGTAGTTTCTAATATCTTGTTTCTCTTATTTCGAACAGAATTTTGTTTGAATTAATCCTTGTAAGATGTTTTATAGGAAAACTAAAAGGGCTGCCCTTTTATGAACTTTAAGACTGATATTATTTCAAATGACATTGTTTTTTCCTTCATCAACATTAAAATTTAATCCCCACTTATCTTGTAATTGCTTAATATCATAAAGAAAATCAAACGTCAAACTATGAATTGTAAAAGGAGTACCCGTTTTCCTTGCTCTTTTTATTGCAGCCATGTATTTAACATTAAATGTCACGTTTATTTCCTGATTACCTGCTTTTGCTGATACAATTTTTAAGTAATCAAGAACACAGATTCCGATTTCTACAGCATCTTGGGTTCATCATCATTGGGTCTCATCCCAAAATAACCATGTACGTCTCCATAGCTTTTATATTCATCGACATTATTGTCAGTTGGCTGATTTAGTTCAGTAATTGTACAATTGTAGCTGTTTAGTTTTGACTTATAATAAAAGCATGAAGTTTCATTATTTGGACTTTGAATAATTGCTTGAATATCATAACAAACTTTATAAAAAGTGTGGTGGAGCCCACTTTCTTGTTCTTTATGTCTCTGTATTTCTGTAAAATCTCTATATAAATCACGAATACTTTTACCTCTACTAATGTACTCCCGGTTGGTGGATGGTCTTAAATAATGAGACTCTATTCGCGGGATTGAGTTTACAAACTCTGCAATGTCATTTACCAAGTGGCTGCTTACAGTTTTATGACTTCGATGCTTTCCTCTATTATCATTATCGACGTAGCCATCCGTATTTTTACTCTTCTGCACAACTGTTAAAATCATTCTTTGTGTAATATTAAATGTGTTAGTGAAGACCGTTTTACATACACTTATTTTCTTATTTCCACAATTCAAATAGAAAGTATTATTTGGTTGTCTTGGTTGCATAGCGTTTGTATATTTGTACTTAGATGTAACCGGA